CCCTCCTAATACCTTCATATTAGGGCTTCAACATATAAATTAGGGGGAATGCAAACTTTCAGTCCAGAGCAAAAGGTAATAGAAGTCCTCATCAAACAGCCGTTGTACACAATGTGTAAATCATTTCAGATTCACTGGAGAAAAAGTGAATCACAAACAACACTGAATCTGAACCATGGCCAACTTTAAAGATATCTATCCTGGTAAATTATCAGACTCACCCATGAAGATTTGATATAATTAAATTCTTTAAAAAGATCTTTTTTTGAAACAAAGATTTTAAAACATAACATAAAAGTGGAAAACCAAATAACATCTAAAACAGTTTTTGTTGGTTCATATGGCATTCCTCCACTCTTCTTGGACATTCAGCCTAAAACCTAAATTTTTATTCTTACTCATATACTTTTATAGCTCTTTCCCCTGATTTTCTTTGTTTGTTTGTTTTGTTTTTTGGTCTGTAACAGTTACCTATAATTCTATGGGTTTTCTACCTTACTTATTGTCTGCCTACCCTGCTTTTCTGCAAGTTTGATGGTCAGGAGTCTTACTACCATATATAACAGTGCCTGCTATATGGTAGGCACTAATAATTATTTGTTGAAAGAATTAATGGAAATGAATATCCACTGCTATTAGGATATAAATTCCACATCCAGAAGTTACATTTCCTTGTCAACAGCGAACTAACTTAAATAAAAGGTTGACCTCACACTCATGTTTTTTATCCATATGTGCCTCAGGCAAAATACAAAGTCTGGTTGAATAAGACCATGAAAGGTTTGTAGGAAATCATAAGTCCTGTTCATTAGAAGAGGAACCCTTTCTCCCCTGTAAATTAAATCAGCTCTACCAGGTTATTATTTTTTTTGACAAGTCCCCTCTAACAGTACAGATGGGCACTAGCTATCTTAATTTCATCCTCTTCACTCAACAATTCAATGTTTTCAATATAAAAGATGACAGAAAGAAGGTATGGTACATATATTCAATGGAATGTTAACTCAGCCATTTAAAAGAATGAAATAATGCCATTTGCAGCAACATGGATGGACCTAGAGATTTCATACTTAGTGACATAAGTCAGACAGAGGAAGAAAATATATGCTGATATCCATTATATGCAGAATCTGAAAAGAAATGATAAAAATTGAACTTATTTACAAAACAGACTGACAGACTTACAGAATGAACTTATGGTTACCAGGGGGAAAAGATTGGGGATAGGATAATTAGGGAGTTTGGGACTGACAAGTATACACTACTATATTTAAAATGGATAACCAACAACGACCTACTTATAGCACAGGGAACTCTGCACAATAGTATGTGGAAGCCTGAATGGGAGGGGAATTTGGGGAAGAATGGATACGTGTATAATGTACGGCTGAGTCCCTCTGCTATCCACTTGAAACTATCAAAAATTATTAATTGGCTATACTCCAATATAAAATTAAAAATTATATAAAATCCCAAAGATGTATGGGTATTACATGTCTAAATTAATGGAAATTAAAAAAAAAAAGAATAATGGAACCAGAGATGGTAACTAACTGGTGCCTCTGAGTTGAATTAAGCACATAGAGGATTATTATAGTAATATTTTTGTTATTATTTGGTAGTTAGTTTTTTGGTTTGTAGAGTGTTATCCTTCACAATTAACTTATACAGTATGTTGGCCTGCATGGTATTTTTTTTATATGTGATTATGGACTAACATTAAAAATTGTGAGATCAAAAAAATCATGGATTTCTTGCTTCTCGTGAAAAATGAAAGATTTGGCACAACTGGTTAACCTTCCCTATGGCAAAAATTAGTGGAACTGAGAGGTGTTCTTCCTCAAGTGGTCCATTAGTTCTCTCCAGTTTTATCACACTTCCTGCCATTCTCAAGTAAGTCTAGGTATTGAAGCCTAGACTCAGTTGCTACTTACTAACATGTTGTGCTACTGCATTTTTATTATACCTGTTATTCATAACTTGCCTCTCTATATAAATATTTGAGTCTGTGAATCTGTTCATAAATGAATGAGCTCTATGGATGAAAAGACATATGAATTAGTTATCTATCGCTGTGTAACAAGTTAACCCCAAAACTTAGGATCTTAAGACAGTAAACATTTATTTTCTCACATGGTTTCTGTGGATCCGGAATCTGGGAGCCACTACGTGAGTGGCTGGTGTTGGTTTGGAATCTCTCCTGAGGTTGCTGTAATACATTAGCTTTGGATGTAGTCAGCTGAAATCCTGACTATGCTGAGGGCTTCCAGAAGACTCCCTCATATGGCTGTTGGCTAGAGGTCTCAGTTTCTTGCTATATGAACTTCTCCAGAGGGCTACCTGTGGGGCCTCACGACGTGTCCCCTGGCTTTGCCCAGTTAGTGACCCACAAGATAGAGGACAAGGAGGAAGGCTCATGCTTTTTATGATCTCATCTCCAAAGACACACACGATCACATCAGTTCAGTTCAGTTGCTCAATCGTGTCCAACTCCCTGCAACCCCATGAATCGCAGCATGCCAGGCCTCCCTGTCCATCACCAATCCCTGGAGTATACTCAGACTCACATCTATCCAGTCGGTGACGCCATCCAGCTGTCTCATCCTCTGTCATCCCCTTCTCCTCCTGCCCCCAATCCCTCCCAGCATTAGGATCTTTTCCAATGAGTCAACACTTTGCATGAGGTGGCCAAAGTATTGGAGTTTCAGCCTCAGCATTAGTCCTTACAATGAATACCCAGGACTGATCTCCTTTAGGATGGACTGGTTGGATCTCCTTGCAGTCCAAGGACTCTCAAGAGTCTTCCCCAATACCACAGTTCAAAAGCATCAATTTTTCGGAGCTCAGCTTTCTTCACAGTCCAATTCTCACATCCATACATGACCACTATCACATCAGCCTTATTTTATTCATTAGACGTGAGCAACTAAGTCCAGTCCACACTCAAGGGGAGAGGCGTTAAATTCTACCTCTTGAAAGAAGCATCAACGTATTTGGGAGACTCAGATGTAGCAGTTTTGGTCTTCGGGTCTTGCACTTGGTTGATTCATCAAATAATTCTTTTAATCTAATGCCCTACTACTTTACTTGATTTAATATTTCAAAGCTTTTTTTAGTTTATTTTGTATATACCATTCCAAATAAACTTGGGGACTTTAAAGACTTACAAGATATAATATTTGAGGTTTAAAAAAACTGAAAAATGTGTCCAAAGAGATTATTAATTCAATTTTAGGAAAACCACTCCTAAATCTTAGTGAAACACAAACTTTCAGTTACTTATCATGTATCACCTAGGTAGTCTGAGGAGCTGGTATATAACCAGTCACAACATATTAATAATTATTTTTTTGTTCCTGAATGTGCAACTGCAGAATTACTGTAGGCAAATTTCTTTGTAAACATTTGTAGCTGTAATCATCACCAATCTCCTGGGTAGTGGTAAGGTTCTTTTTTTTTTTTTTTTTTTTTTTTACTTTTTTATATGACTATACTATTCAGTCTCGGCAGGAAGCAGGTCATCACCCTTTATACCAGACTCAAAGAAAAAGAGTAGAGAAGCTCTGAATGAAGAAAGGGGAATCTCAACAGACGGGCAAATTCAAAGACAAGATAGGGAAGTTTGGAGAGTAGACATTGCTCATCTGCTTCTCTTTGGTGATGTCTTTAAGCCCTCAAATTTTGATATGTCTAGTTGATGCACTGACAATATAGATATTAATAGGTTTTTTAAAATTCATGTTTTAACTTTCAGGGTTAATCAAATTATGGTGACAGGGAGAGGTACACATATATAACCATTCACTTGTTAAAAAAAGAAAATATTAATTTACTCCAGGTTGGTTCCCATATGGCACTGATGTCATATAAGATGCACACCACTGACCCAATATATACATAATGATTTCATCCAAGTTTTTTCTTTACTTTTTAGCAGAAAACAAAACTAGTTTTTTTCCTGCTAAAATGGACTATTGCTCCATTTCTTGAGATTTTGTTCATAGCATTGAGTTCTGTAAGTTTAGTATTCATTTCCTACTCACAGCAGGGTTGGTAACAATCATGTTAGCAGAAATAAATTTTTATAAAGCCTACATTTTTCTATAAGGCAATGATTTTTATAGTACATAAAGTATGTGATATGTATATACATTCACTGAAAGTCAGTGACATCCCTTGAAATGTTATGACATATTTTTAACATGCTTCCTCTACTTATTAAGTTCCTTGTCTATATTATTTGCCAGTGGCTTGATTTCATGAAGTTTATTGGAATTCAGTTTTTGAAAACATATTGTAGATGTTAATTTGAGAATTTTTGCAGTTTATCAAACCATTTTCAGAATTTAAACTCTTCCATTTTTACTCAGGTGATTTAAACTATGTACAAATACACAAAAATCTTTTTTTCTTCTTCTTAATTCAGTAAAGTCAAGTAATACAAACTAATCTTACTTTCTTATTGCTTTATGAGACAATTTTAAATAAATTTCTACTCTAAAATAACAACTTGTAAGGTATAATCCTTGTGTTTTTGTGTATGTATAAAGCATTTTCAAAGAAAGAATAATTTAAATCATTAGTCAATGATACTATGGCCTTGTTTCTTCAGTTATCTGTGTATATCTGTATATCAAGCTATCCTTTATAAGCAGGTAAGATTTTACTTTATTTTGACAAATACTCATGGCCATTGCACTTAGAATATTAAAGTAGAACAAGGAAAATAATCATTAAAATAATATCAATAATAATAATAACAATAAACCAAGAATCAATAACAGTGAAGTTAGTATTGTTAATAGTCCCTGAACTGGATAATCTTATAAGTTTGTTTGGTAAGGTTAAGAAAAAAAGAAAAGAAAAATTCTCTTAGAGATGTGCAACTTGAATGTGCTTCTAGTGTTAATAGAGCAGTAACTTTTTTAAGCTTTTAATAGGTCATAATTAATCAAACCCAATCAATACAAGCATCCGAGATATAGAATCATTGTACTTACCCATGATGGTTAGGGCTGTAGCTTTTGTTAATTCTTCTTTCATTGTCTCTATTACTTCTAAATTACTGCCATCCAGGTTGCATCTATTTATGGTTCCATTTCCTGAACTGATCCAATAAAGCTTGTTTTCCACATAGTCTATTGATAGACCTGTAATTAAATGATACAACTTAACCATAATGGTAGCCACTTAAACTGTAATGTTCACCTAGCACTGGATTTTGAGGAAAGAATAAGTTGCAAGCTCAGATTTTTGTCTTTAAAAATACGATCTGGCTAACAGGGAGATTCACATACTGTTTTAAATATTAGTCAAAAAATATACTATTATAACACAATGGTTATATCTGTTGATTATCACAACAATTTGTGACTTTAAGAGGAATGATTGCTTCATTTTACAGATAAGGAAAACAATACCTAAAACAGTCAAGAAGTCTATTTGAGGCCACAGTGGGTAAGTGGACATTCCAGACATTTTAAGGTTTCTAATTCTAAATTGAGTGCTTGCTTTCTTCATTATACTGCTTTGTCTCAGAAAGCTTTAATGTGTAACACTTATTTGGGATACTTATTTTATTAATGAAATTTCTGATCTTTCCTTTACTTTCAGTAAAATCTACCTTAAAAAGTTATAGATTTAAAGTGGTGGTTTCCAGTACTCTTCAAGTAAATCCAAAGATAGAATTTCAACAATTAATAATTGCATTGAAATGTGGCAATGAATTGAGCTCATTTAGGAGCTGTCATTGAGAAATAAACCATACAGAAAAGAAGTGAACCAAGCCAACGGCTTAAGACCATTCTCCCTGAAGGATGTGTCACTGTAAGTTCGCATAATAGTAGTTTATGAACAATTCCCTACATTATAGAGGCATTCTTGGTTTTCAAAAGTCTCAGGACATGTACATTTTGGTTGCCAAGGATATACATCTAACTAATTATAGACATGCTAAGTAGGTTCATGATCCATGCATGTTATAACATGAACTGTGTGGCTTCATGTTGGTGTTCTGTGACTCGCAACTATTAATACTTGTGAAAGAAGCATATATGGGCACAAAGCAGGCATACAATAAATAGTCTGTTTATGGGACCTCCCTCACAGAATGAAGTGAACAAATGACACAAAAAAAAGCCCTTCTCTATTAAAACAAAACAAAAAACCTAAGATAAAAAAAGGAAAAAAGAGGAGAGGAAGAAAAGTGAAGAAAAAAGGGAAGATGGAATAAAGAAGGAAAACAGAGAGAATCACTGAGTTCAATTGCATGGAAAAAGTGATAACATAACCTAATACTCTCAACTACAGTTAGTGAGTAGACCAGTTTTAATCAAGTAGCAGCAATAAAAGAAGTCTATACAACACGCAAGCTATTAACTGACTTATTGGTATGTTTTCTTGATGAAAGTCTGGAAAGTTTACCAGGAAATCACAATGTATAGAATTAGACACTGAAGGGATAAAATGTTCAAAAAAAAATTTTATAAATACTGTGGGTCATTAGCTTTAATTACTATGACAGAATAATCAAAAACCACATAGTCATATTCTATGAGATAAGGCTTTCATGGTGAAAGTCATTCATCACTCTTTTTTTTTCTTTTTAATGAGAGAAAGTTTGGTTATTCTATAAGAAGTTCCTAAGCCACCATCATATGTCTTTTCTAGTATAAATGAATCCTGCTTTAGACAGCTTAGTGTTCATAAGTGGTCTATTTTACCTTCTACTTAATTGACCATCTAAAGCATATAATTCCATCTTTAATTCAGCTGAAGCATACCTTTACAATAGATTTATTGTTCAAATATAACCCCAAAGTTTCTGATGCTGAATTTTCACAAGAATCAAATTAACAAATTCTCTTTAGGTAAGATATCTATCACCCTAGATATTCTGAATTTAATTTTTCAATCAAGTTAAATCATCAGGGAATTACTTGCATTTTTAGATTGCTAAGGCTTTGTCTCTCTCTCTCTCTGAATCTGTTCTGAAATGGACTTTGGCATTTGCTCTTGGTATAAATGAAAGGTGATATAAGAAGTAGCCATAGGAAAGCCACTGTTATACTTCACAGGATATAGTGTCTGAAATAATGCATCACACTGTGACCTCTTTATATAAGGACCCATGGGAGGAATTTCTCTTAGGGCTCAGTGTCAGGAAAAGCTTTATGTGGAAAATATAAAATTGTAACTGATCATATTTCTGTCTTTGCTTTGGCTGCAATGAAACCAAAGAATCAGATTTGTGACCCATATCCAGCAATTGTAAAGCAACTGCATTTATACCACAAGCTTCACTCCTGGCTTCAACAGACAGTGCTAATTTTCCTACACCTTGATTTTTAAAATTAATATTCCTGTCTGTCTCAGGGAATAATTTTAAGTGTCCTCAACCCCTATCAGAAAAACATCTACTTTCGCTTATTGACTATACTAAAGCCTTTGACTGTGTGGGTCACAACAAAATATGGGAAATTCTTAAAGAGATGGGATTCCCAGGCCACCTGACCTGCCTCCTGAGATACCTGTATGCAGGTCAGGAAGAAACAATTAGAAATGGACATGGAACAACAGACTGGTTCCAAATTGGGAAAGGAGTACATTAAGGCTGTATATTGTGACCCTGCTTATTTAACTTATATGCAGAGTACATCATTCCAGTTGAGCTATTTCAAATCCTGAAAGATGATGCTATAAAAGTGCTACACTCAATATGTAGGCAAATTTGGAAAACTCAGCAGTGGCCACAAGACTGGAAAAGGTCAGTTTTCATTCCAATCCCAAAAAAAGGCAATGCCAAAGAATGCTCAAACTACCACACAATGGCACTCATCTCACACACTAGTAAAGTAATGCTCAAAATTCTCCAAGTCAGGCTTCAGCAATATGTGAACCGTGAACTTCCAGATGCTCAAGCTGGTTCTAGAAAAGGCAGAGGAACCAGAGATCAAATTGCCAACATCCACTGGATCATTGAAAAAGCAAGACAGTTCCAGAAAAACATCTATTTCTGCTTTATTGACTATGCCAAAGCCTTCGACTGTGTGGCTCACAATAAACTGTGGAAAATTCTGAA